AACCAAAGATTTTCCATGTTGATTACGCAGTTCGGGTATTAAAAGGTAAACCACTATGGTCAATACCATAAATGGTATGGAAAAAAGCATAGCTGAGAAATAAAATAAAAAAAGAATTAATCAATTTCTTAAATACATCGCTTATATTATTTACAAAAGATAATCATAAAAAATATTGCTTATCTAAAACTTACCATAAGCATTTATGATTTTCATGGTACCATACTCTGAGGAAACCTTACAATTGGCTGGATTGATTTTATAAAACAAATCTGTTTCATTGACCACAGTAGGTACTAAACAAAATTCGTTTTTAACAAAATAAATTTCATCATCCAAACGGAACATTGTGCCATTCTATAATAAAGCATTTAAATATTTTTTTCTTTCAGAACATACACTTAACATAAAATATATCTTTAACACTCACTGAAAATAGTTCCCAGCCATCGTAGTAATACATCTCTGGTATTAAAGAAAACATTATCTTACATGGACGAAAATTTTGCACTGCGAATTGTTCAAATATGTTGACTGTTTTGAGTGAACTATCTGGTAGTGTTATATTGATTGTTGGTTCTGGCCATTGATGTTCTTCACTTGTATTAATACATGAGCTCAGATTTGAATTGTAAATTGTGCCCCACGGGCAACAAAAATTGATGCAAGGTTTCACTTTACATATACATCCACGATAATGTGGTGGCACCTCTTCCCGTGTAACTAAATCCTTGTAAATATAGTCGTATAAGCCAACCAAATGTCTTGGTATCAACACACCATCATGCAAATATGAACCATTTTCAAATTTCGTATCACTTGTCACATTGACGGTATCAAAAAATGTACATGGTGTATGTAGTCCATCACGATGATGATAACTCTCGCCTGGATAAGCCAAAATTTGTGGTAAATACACTAAAACGCAGGCTGTGAAACTGAGAAACATAAATTTGCATACTGGATGAGGCATGTTTGAAATTGAAACTGAAATTCAAAGAAAAAGACATATTAAATAAGATAGATATTATGTTTACGTATGACAGATATATTTATATACGAATATACTTGTAAATAATAAATGACTTATGCTAATAAATTTTTTACAAAAAATGTGGAATAAAAAAAAAGTGCAGAATGGAGCATGGACATTTTTTGTCAATGGAGCAGCTTTAAATATTTAGAAGCAGCATTCAACGAGAATAACACAAAGACGTTAAATATCCACGATAAAATACAAGCTGGATATAGGTTCTTTCACAATTTGAAAAAGGTCATAACATCTAAAACTATATATAGAAAAATCAAAATATTGTTATATAAAACAACTATAGTCACTACTATAATATATAAACTATAGTCTGTAGCCACTTATGGGAGTGAATCCTTGAGGTTATTTAATACCGAAACAAGTAAATCGGCAGTATTTAAAAAAGGATATGAGATAAATATTTGGACTAGTGCAAGAACACAGAGAATATCACATAAGATATAATGATGAACTCGATAAACTGATGAAGCACATAAAAAAGCAATGCTTGAAGTGGATAGCACACGTAGTAAGGATGCCAGAAGAAGGATGAAGTTAGAACCGCGAGAAAGTGATGAAGTGAAAATGTTTGACAAGATCTAAGAGATATGGACTGGACATGGATTGTATAGCTATGGATAATAATGATGATACTCATACACTCACAAAGAAAGTGTTATTTGCTTTTAAAGTCGGCCTTACAAAAAACCAAACTTATTCAAGGGATAAGTTTTACTTCGCAATTAGCTGGAAACTAACAAGCTAGAATCCTTAAGTTTATCTAGCTAAATGCAAATTTCCTATTAGATATTTTCTCTATTGAAATAAATGATTGTTTTGCTTGATATAGAAAATGGCGTTCGGAAAATTTTTATCAATGCATGTAATTTCATTTAAGTGACTTTGTGAGTCCGTTAAAGAGTTTAAATTCAATTAAAGATATGTTTGTAAGTCTTTTGGCTATATAATCAGTCATCAGTGTTTTGAAAAGACAATAAAAACTGTGGTAAATTGAATACACGGTTGTTATCAATATAGAACTTGAATACGGTTGATTATTCAGAAACGAATCACTAAAGCAAGTTGAGAGGTGATTTGTAAAAGTAACTGTTATCAATCAGATGAATATCGAAATACTCGTAAAAGAAGGGGATAAATTATAAATGATGTATTTACGATATAATATATAATAAATTTGTATGTTGCTATCTGTACATATCTGAGGGTAGATCAATCGAGTACGTCAATGAGTTCTGCTATTTGGGTAACTACGTTAAGACACATTGAGACGCAACAAGAAATTTGGATATAAGAATATCAAAAGCCAGAATAGCATTCATAGTATATGGAATTCAAATGAAATATCTCTTTAAACAAAAATTCATGTTTACAATGCCTCTATGTAATCCAAAGCTAGACCAACAGATGCCTGTGTAATATTTTGAAAATTTGGTGGCGAAGTAGAATTTCAAATATGGAACTACTTCAACGAACAAACCAAGAATATATCAAAAAACAAGTCAAGCGTTCGAAATATAATTTGCTTGGCCATGCTTTTCGAAAGTCGTACAACGAAAAATGCCACGCAACAGTTCTATGGAACCCCCAAGGCAACAGAAACAGAGGAAGACTATGTAACATCTGGAGAAGAGCGATAACAAATGAAGCTGACAAATCTTTAAATAAATTACTTTATATTGCTTTAGATACAAATAGTTGAAGATTCTGTGCAACAAGTCTAAGCTTCTGTTGGAATACGACTAATAATAATATTTGTGCATAAGGTGGCAACATTGTCATACTTTTAACGTAAAAAAATATATCTTTATTTGGTTTTACTAATTACACTTATGTGTATAACTGCACTTTACTTCATTGTTAGCTTTTCAAGGCTTGTTATTCGTTTTATATAAAAAATGAAAGAACTCATCCCAATCACAATTCCCTAAACATTTATTCTTAACATGTACAGAGAATAGATATCTATAAATATAATACACAGAAGCCATTTTGTTAGTATTGTAAGGTTATCCTTCGAAAATTCTTATTAAATGACTTTTTCCAGTAAATTAATTTTAATTTTAGATATTAATTTATCATTCTAAATTGTAATTATGGTACGTATATATATATCTTCCACTTTTCATAATAATCAGCATGCGTGGGTTATACGCAGTATCGAAGTCAAAGAAACATTGGGTGGGTGATTTTACAAATATGTAAATAAATAAAATATGTATAAACAAATTTCAAATTAATTCTATAACTTTCGAGGAATTTGTAAAACTATATCCTGTTGCATTTTAAGCACATTCTGTTTATAATTTTGTTCTGAGAATAATTAAACATTTCAAGGGAAACGAAATTAACTTATTTTCTTGTCTGTTGACTGACATCCTGTCGCATAATTTAAATAAAATGTTTGCTTAATACTTTGAGGTTAGAAAGAATGTTCGGAATGTTACTAGTGCCCTCCCAAAGCGCACATAAGGATACGTAAGTAAACACATGTCGACAAGTTACCGGAAAGAGTTTTTAAGTGAATTGTCCTTGAATTAACGAACTACTGCTAAACCGAAAACAAAACAATGGGTCAAAATCAACAATGACAGCTATTAGCAAATATTTAAGGGACGAGTGCCGGCAAATGTGACCGTAGGTGGCTTATTGGTTTATTTGGTGATTGGTTAATAACATAAATCATCTCGTGACACATGCAATAAATACCATCGATTACCACTATACTCGTACAACATTGACGGAAGTAAAATTAGTGTGCACAATTATAATTAATTTAATAATTAAATAAAACAAAAAAAATAAACTATATATATGGAAAATATTAATATTTGAGGCATTCGTTATTGGGTTTGTTTCCCGGGAAATTTAAGTATTACAAATTAGAGCAGAAAATATTTAGTGATCTAACTAATTTAAATTTGAATTAAATACCCCAAAGCAGAAGGGATTCTTTAGTTACTTAAAGTGCAAAGTTTTTATATTAAAGAATTAAAGATATCTAGAAAAATATACATCAATATATTTAAGAGAGCTAGTACCCCGTTCTTTCTCTTCTCTTCTAATGTACTTAAATATATCATTCGCATGCTTAAATATTGACATTATTGAAACTGTATATGAAGTTTATTTGTGGGGAAGTAAATCTCTTATGTTATATTTTTACATTATATTTTATATCTTTTATAAATATTTAGATTTGAAAAATAAAATTAGTAAGATCTTGAACTCTTTTATCAACACACGATTAAAATTTAACTTTTGAAATAAAATATTAGTTATAAAGGTTGTGTTTCTTCCCATAGTATTTTATGTTTCCCCAACATGGTATAGTACTTCTAGTACCAACTGCAGTTTAGTAAAATAAGGTGCTTAAAATGATTTACACCTTCTTTGTTGGATCTCTACTAGAAGCCTATATGAATTAGCAAAAACAGAGATGGTTTAAACTAAGATGAGAAATAGTTCTTCTAAATTCAACTGCAGTTTAACAAAATAAGTTATCTAAAATGTTTTACAATCTTCCTTGGTGTTATTCCACTAAATGTCAACAGGGCCTTAGAAAAATAGAGATGCTTTAAATTGATATGAAAAATTTATTCAAAACAATTAAGGGAAAATGTTCAGCTTCGCATTTAATTTAACAGAAATTTTAGCCGTTTAATGACAAAATTAATTTAATTTTGTTAATTTCCATTCTTATAGTATTATAATTATGTACTTATATATTCAATCCACCATAATATGAGCTGCAAAGGTCGTAGTAACTGAACTCTCTATTTCAAATTACTATAAATCACATTTTTTTTTACTTTAAATAAAATAAACAAATAAAAATAAAGACCACCATTATAGGTCTAAGATGGAATTAAAGTTTAGTTATAGTGAGAGTGAGTTTTTAAGTCACCTTTTTAGACTGTCACTTAACAAAAACTTACAACTACAATCAATGTTTTTCGTAAAGTAAATATCATACACATATTATTTTTTTCTCTTAATTATAAATTCTTTATTATAAAAAAATTGATGGTGATAAAGACTATAAATTTTAACATATTCATAAAGCTGCGAACATATAAAAGATGTTTTTTTACAACCCTTTGAATAACTATATAGAATATATAAAATCAATATACTCAATTTTTCTTAATCGAAATACATTTGACGTAGTACCTACATTAAAGAAATAGTTCGACTTCGAAATTTTCAAGCGCCTTCACTGAACTGGAAGATGCCACTGAAATCCATTGAATTCAGTCGCAATTCAAACGATTATCTTATAATTACCGTGCCCTTATAAGAGCATAAACCAAGATCCTTACGACACTCTAATACAGCATCGTTGTGCAGGGAATATATTCTTGTAAGCAATCTGTTATCACGAGTTGAAATCTCTTTCGTTTAAAAAGGTTTCAATCTATGTTCAAACTGTGTACTTTTGATGGAACATTAGTTTCAAATTTTTTTTCTTGAGCCATAAAATCAAAAATTCTGTTATCATGAACCATAAGCCTTAAAAGTACTGACACATATACTCGGGTATTATAAAAAATTAATAATTATAATAAGTTAATGGTCGGTATGGTAACTTGTTTCTTTTTCTCTTATATATTGAAATAAATAACTCTGTAAATTATTTCTATTAATATACCTATCCTAAGAAGCTATATAATATTTTAAAAATTGAAATTGGAATCATAATGAGGTAACTTGATATCCAAAATAATAAGAGCATATCTTTTATTGAAGAGTCATCTCAGTTGGTCAATCAAGTTGACCGTGAAATTATAAAGCCCACATTACTTATTCAGTGCTGATTTAAGAAATAAGTTATACTTATTGATAAACGTTAATATATCATATAACGTATTCTCTTGTTCTGTTTATTCGAACCAATATTCTCTGTTAGTTAGATTGACATTATAGAATCCAGTATAACTTTAGA